CTTCCCGCCCTTCTCCCCTTACCTCCCCTGCCTCCTATCCTCCTCCCTGCACCTCCCTGGCCTCCTGCCCTCCTCCCTGCCCCTCTCCAGCCTCCTGCCCTCCTCCCTGCACCTCCCTAGTCTCCTGCCCATCCTGGGTAGGGCGATCGGTATCCCCGCCTCACAGCCATGCCACGTGCAGCTGTGGTGAGGACTAGAGACAATGGAGGCAAAGGCCTATGCATGGCCCATATTCAATGAATGAGAGCTATTTTTATTCTTATGAGACCTAGTAAAGCCAATGAGAGAGGAAGAGGCATGAACTGAGAGAAAAATAAAGGGAAACAAATCCCCTGGGGAGTGGGGAGGACAACAAATCGAGCTCATAAAGGCTTCAGGGTCCTCCACCGTGGTGGTCCTGAGGCCAAGGCTCTCTGTGTGACTGCTTACCTCACACTAGATGTTCAATAGTCTCAACAAAAGGAAAAGGCCAGAAAAAGACCCAAGAATTATCTGGTACAATGTAAAAGTTTCTTTTAAATATTTCTTGGCCAGGCACAGTGGCTCACACTTGTAATCACAATACTTTGGGAGGCTGAGGTGGGTGGATCACTTGAGGTCAGGAATTTGAGATCAGCCTGGGCAACACAGTAAAATTCATCTCTACTAAAAATACAGAAATTAGCTGGGCATGGTGGCATGCCTGTAATCCCAGGTACCAGGGAGTCTAAGGCAGGAGGACTGCTTGAACTTGGGAGGCAGATTGCAGTGAGCTGAGATCACACCACTGCACTGTAGCCTGGGCAACAGAGTAAGATTCCATCTCAAAACAACAACAAAATATCATTTCTTTAAGACACTAAGAGCAAGATTTATCAATGAATGCTGCCATGGCAATAGATGATCTATATGGAGAAAATAAAATTATATCCCTATCTTACGTCACACACAAAAATAAATTACAGCTAGATTAGACTTAAATGTAAAAGATTAAGCTAAAGAATAGAAGGGGCTGGGCATGGTGACTAGCACCTGTAATCCCAGAACTTTGGGAGATTGAGGCTGGTGGATTGCTTGAGCCCAGGAAATTTAAGACCAGCCTGGGTAACACAGCCAAACCCCATCTTTACAAAAAACAGAAAAGTTAACTAGGCATGATGGGGCACACCTGTAGTCCCAGCTACTTGGGAGGCTGAAGCAGGAGGATCACTTGAGCCTGGGAGGTCAAGGATGCAGTGAGCTGAGACTGTGCTACTGAACTCCAACCTGGGGGGCAGAGTGAGACCCTGTGTCCAAAACATAAAAATAATTTTAAAAAAGAATTTACATTAAAAAAAAGAATAGAAGGAAGAAAGGTGCATGTATCTCAAGGGAAGAAAGGCTTTTCTAAACATAAAGCAAAGAAAAACACATAAAAACATTTTAAAACAAGTAATTTTGCTAGGTGCAGTGGCTCATGTCTGCAATCCCAACACTTTGGGAGGCTGAGGCAGGTAGATCAGTTGAGGTCAGGAGTTTGAAACCAGCCTGGCCAACTTGATGAAACCCTATCTCTACTAAAAATACAAAATTAGCTGGGTATGGTGGCACATGCCTGTAATCCCAGCTACTCCAGAGGCTGAGGTAGTAGAATTGCTTGAACTTGGGAGGCAGAGGTTGCAATGAGCTGAGATCATGCCACTGCACTTCAGCCTGGGTGACTAGAGCAAAACTCTATCTCAAAGAAAAAAAAAGTAACTTTAAGCTCATAAAATATTTAATTTATTTATGCCAAAAATTATAGTAAAAATAAAAGCAGTTGACAAACTGGAAAACGTTTTCTATGTTTGTCAGAGGAAGGTTAGTATCCTTTTTTAGATTTGTACATGGATAAGAAAAAATTTAAGACTCAATAGAAAAAATGGAAAAGCAATAACAATAGCTAATAGTCACAGAGCACTTACAATTGTCAAGTAATGTGCTAAGTGCTTGAAATGTATGATGGTATGTGAACCTCACAACCTTGTGAGGTAGGTACTATGATTACCTCCATTTCCTAGATGAAACAACTGAGACTTAGGGTGAGTTACTTGCAAAAAGTTGTATCACTGTTAAATGACAGCACTGAAGCCTGCCTGACTCCAAAGCCTGTTCTCTTAACTACACTGTGCTTCAAATCAAAAAGAAGAGCGATAAGTGGCCATTATTTTTGTGTATATGTATATTCTATATACAATGAATATACATATGTATTTTATGCATATATGTGTTAAAATGTACTAGTAATCAAAGGCCATTATAATTTTTCCTATCAGGTTGACAAGGGAAAGAGAAAACACATGTTGTGGGGGTTCGGTGTTCATTCTCTTGGTCTCCTCCTGTATCTGGCCACCTCTCTATACCACTTCCCCTGTAGGCTCCCATCTTCATCTCTTCCCTGGTCTCCCTGTGCCTAGGGATGGTAAGCACTCAGCTGCTGCTAGCCCCAGATCATTTGGTGGTTCGCCTGTATCCAGTCCGTACCTTCATAAGTCTACTGCTTTATAAACAAACTCTCCTTAGATTGTCTTAATTTGATTGGGTCTTCTGTTTCTGTGTGGGATGCTGGCTGATACATCTTTTGACCTATCAATTTTATACTAGAATTTTATCCTAAGGTAACAACCAGGAAGATGTGAAAATGTATAAGCATATTTGTAGCAGCATCAAAACTGACGACAACCTAAGTATTCAACAGTAAGGAACCAGTTTAATACATCTGATGACCCACATGATAAAATACTATGTAGTTGTTGAAAATCAGGTTACAGGCCAGGCACAGTGGCTCACAGCTATAATCTTAGCACTTTGGGAGGCCAAGGGAGGAGAATTGTTTGAGCCCAGAAGTTCAAGACCAGCCTGGGCAATATAGCAAGACCCTCTCTACAAAAAAATGAAAAAATTAGTCAGGTGAGGTGACACATGTAGGAGGCTGAGGTGGGAGAATGGCTTGAGCCCAGGAGTTCAATGTTACAGTGAGCTATGATTGCACCTGAACAAAGGAGCAAAACCTCAACTCTAAGCACAAATAAATAAACAATAACGTTTAAAAATCAGGTTATAGGCCGACCACAGTAGCTCATGCCTATAATCCCAGCACTTTGGGAGGCTGAGGTGGGCAGATTATGAGGGCAGGAGATCAAAACCATCCTGGCCAACACAGTGAAACCCCATCTCTGAAAATAGAAAAATCAGCCAGGTGTGGTGGTGGGTGCCTATAATCCCAGCTACTCTGGAGGCTGAGGCAGAAGAATTGCTTGAACCTGGGAGGTGGAGGTTGCCGTGAGTCAAATCATGCCACTGTACTCCAGCTTGGCGACAGAGTAAGACTTTGTCTCAAAAAAAATCAGGCTATAAATGGATATTTAATGATGTAGAAATATACTTATGAAATATTTTGAGTGGAAACAAAATGTTCCTGCAATTCCAAGTTTGCACGTAAAAGTGACTAGAACTGGGCTGGGCGCGGTGGCTCACGCCTGTAATCCCAGCACTTTGGGAGGCCGAGGCGGGTGGATCACGAGGTCAAAAGATCGAGACCATCCTGGTCAACATGGTGAAACCCCATCTCTACTAAAAGTACAAAAAAAAAAAAAATTAGCTGGGCATGGTGGTGCGTGCTTGTAATCCCAGCTACACAGGAAGCTGAGGCAGGAGAACTGCCTGAACCCAGGAGGCAGAGATTGCGGTGAGCCGAGATCGAGCCATTGCACTCCAGCCTGGGTAACAAGAGCGAAACTCCGTCTCAAAAAAAAAAAAAAAAAGTGACGTATCCCCAAACTACTAACAGCAATTATCTTTTAATTATCAGATTATGAGTGGTTTTTATTTTCTTCTTTTTTTTTTTCTTGAGAAGGAGTTTTTTTTCTTGCCTCTCAGGCTAGAGTGCAGTGGTGTGATCTCCGCTCACTACAACCTTCACATCCCGGGTTCAAGTGATTCTCCTGAGTAGCTGGATTACTGGTGCCTACACCCCGCACCGGCTAATTTTTGTATTTTTAGTAGAGACAAGGTTTCCCTATGTTGGCCAGGCTGGTCTCAAACTCCTGACCCCAAGTGATCCACCCACCTCGCCCTCCCAAAGTGCTGGGATTACAGATGTAAGCCACTGCATCTGGCCTTATTTTCTTCTTTGTATTATTTTTGTGCTTTTTAGATTTTCTACAATGTTCATGTGTTTTCTTATAATTAGAAAAAGTAAATCCAATTAACAGTATCTATTTTAAAAAGAAAAATTATGGTTAAGTTCTGTAACACCTTGCCCCTGTGTACACACACAATCATACCAATTCCTCCGTCCCTGCTGAGATGGGCCTTGCTGGCCCAGGACACTGGTGGAGCAGCTATGGCTGGCCGCACTGTCTGCATGCTCCCACACATCTGCATCAGCATTAGCCCACGGCAATATTCCGGCCCGGAGCCCTAGGCCTCAGGCTTGCTTCAGGACCCAAATGTTCATCAGCCCAGCTCTGGTGCATGACGAAGGGAAGGGCGGTTAGAATGCCTCAACTGCTGGTCAGATAGACTCAAGGAAACACAGATCAGCTGACTCATGGCAATCTTCAACAGAGACAGCATAGAGCACTAGGGAAAAACAAAACAAAGAGCCCCAGGCCTTGGAAAGCCAGAGGTCTGAATCATGACTGAGCATCTGAGCCACTGTTTGACCTCAGGCCAGCATTTAACCTTTCAGTCTGTGTTCTCTTGTCTACAAGGGGAGTCATATTACTCATCTCTCAGGTTATAAGCATTGTATTGAATTAAATGAGCACAGACTAAGGGCTCCCTAACCACTGGTTACTATTAAAGAGAAAGGGCCTCCTGGGCCTGTGAGATACTCAGGGTCCCAGAGCCTTAGCTCTGACATGCAGGTAGACAGCAGTAGCATAGTAAAAACTATGGGGAGAGAGAGGAGATGCTTCTGGCAAGGAAATGGTCACCTGGCTTTTTGCCTAGACACTTGGCTGGCTCTCAACACATGCTCTGTAAGTAAGAAGAGCTACCTGCAGTGGGTCCCAGGTCCAGACTTGAGTCATTCAGCTCTTCCTCCTCTTCCCAGAAGTACTGTGGTGGCTGCAGAATCCGAGATTCTTCACTCTCTTCGCTGGGGAAGCCTGAGCCAGGGGCTCCCAGGCCAGCTCCCAGGCCCATGGTCTCACTAGGCTCCTCTGAGTCCAGTGGCTCCAAGCCAGTGGGTAGCAGGAAGTCCAGCAGGGAAGTGGAGGTGAGGCCCTCTGGGCTAGGCTCATCAGACCCAGCTGCACAAGCACCCAGGGATGCTCCTGTGCAGACATAAAAGCCAGACAGTCAGGGGAGGCTAGAGAGGACAAAGACTGGTGCCACGTTAGAGATGTCTCAAATGACAAAGGTCCTGGGGAAGGGGTGACTTCAGTGGACACTCCTGAACACCCAGGGGCTTCCCGGGGACTCTGACAGGCTGTTTTCATTTCAAAAAGGCCAAATGGGTCGGGTGTGGTGTGTCTCACACCTGTAATCCCATCACTAAGAGAGGCTTAGGCAGGTGGATCATGAGGCCAGAAGATGGAGACCATCCTGGCCAATTTGATGAAACCCCATCTCTACTAAAAAGACAAAAATTAGCTGGGCCTGGTGGGATGTGCCTGTAGTCCCGGGTACTCAGGAGGCTGAAGCAGGAGAATCACTTGAACCTGGGAGGTAGAGGCTGCAGCAAGCCAAGATTGCGCCACTGCACTCCAGACTGGTGACAGAGCAAGACTCCGTCACAAACAAACAAACAAGGACAAACTGCTTAGACATTCCTGTGGCAGAGCAAGAGGAGACAGATGGAGACGGGCAGGGGAGAGAGAGGAATCACTGAGTCAGCGTTCTATTGCACATGTGCTCACTCACAAAGTGCCTCCTGAGTACCGCCTCTCTGCTGGCAATTGTGCTGGGTGCTGGGTCTACAAACAGAAGTGAAAACAGGGCCCATGCTTTTAAGGACCTAGCTGTTCGACTGGACAGTGTTCCCCAGGCTTCCAACCTTAGTTGAAATTTCTCCAAAACTGCATTAAGAACATGATTTGTATGTCAGCAATACAGTATCCTGAACGTAGTCTTTAATTTTTTATTTTTTATATATTTTTTGAGACGGAGTCTTACTCCGTCACCCAGGCTGGAGTACAGTGGTGCAATCTCAGCCTCCTTGGTTCAAGAGATTCTCCTGCCTCAGCACCCCCAGTAGCTGGGATTACAGGTGCCCACCACCACACCCAGCTAATTTTTGCATTTTTAGAAGAGACAGGGTTTCGCCATGTTGGTCAGGCTGGTCTCGAACTCCTGATCTCAAGTGATCCGCCTGTCTCTGTCTCCCAAAGTGCTGTCATTACAGGCATGAGCCACTAAGCCCAGCCTCTGAACGTAGTCTTTTAAAAAACCACATAAGGTAAGTGTATTAGGTGAATGGTGGGGGGGGGACACATGAGGTCACAGTTCAAACTCACCCAGTGCTGGTAATTTGACATATTTGTTTAAAATCTTGGATTCTCTCTCTCTCCTAATTTATCAAAACAAGCAAATAAATGGACAGGAAAATAAATTAAAGGAGACCTTTTTCCTCCTCTTTTACTTTCCTTAAAGACAGGAATATAGCCCTATTTGCCAGTTTCCAACTCAACCTCTAACTTAATGACCTAACCACACAAATATTACAAACTTGCTATGAGGCTCCTGGAAAGCTGCTCAAGGCCTCTGGGTCTCAGTCTCCTCACCCAATAGACAAGGAAGCTGGATGAAATGATCTCCAAATTCTTTTCCCAGACTAACATGTAAGGATCTAGGGAAGAGGGAATTTCATAGTCTTCCTCTTGCTCTACACCAGACGTGTACTGTGACCTGACTTGACTGTAGTCCATGGCAATTTTTAGTGATGTTCATAATAAAAATAAGGCTAATATTATTGGTGCCATGTGCTTTGCTGAGCAGGCCCTAAGCTTGGTATGTGCCAATACCGCAAGTGACTGCTGAAGAAAATGAGCATTTCAGACTGTCCTATAAGTCTGGGTATCAGGGAGTCTGTGCACACTGAGCACCAGCCAGACAACACACAGCCAAGAATGCCACATCCAGCCACAGGGGTGTATTCTGCGGCATGTGGGTGGGGGATGGGGAGTAGAGACTCCAGCAGAAGACACACAGGCCCTGAGGTCAGAGACAGAAGGTTGTTCTCTAATAGGAGAGAGGGCCTGGTACCAGGAAACAGGTTACACTCTGGCTTCTCTGGCTGACTTCACCACCACAAGCCTTGCTCTCCTCCTCTATGTAACAAGAACAGCAATTCCTACCATGCCTCCAGTGTGAGGGGCACCATGTGAAGTAATCCCTGAGCCTTGTGTGAAAGCTGCTCTACAAAGAGCTTCACACACCAAAGTCTTCTACAAATATTGTATTATTATCTTATATAAAAAACAGAGACCTGTGAAGTTCATGGCCTGGGGAAAAAAAGAGATATTTAAAAGAGACCATGATATTATCAAATACATTAAAACAAAAGGTTGGGCCAGGCAGAGTAGCTCACACCTGTAATCTGAGCAGTTTGCAGGTGGAACAAGAGGTCAGGAGTTCGAGACCAGCCTGGCCAAGATGGTGAAACCCCATCTCTACAAAAAAAAAAATAGCTGAGCACAGTGGCAGGTACCTGTAATCCCAGCTACTCGGGAGGCTGAGGCAGGAGAATTGCTTGAACCTGGGAGGCGGAGGTTGCAGGGAGCAGAGATGGTGCCACTGCACTTTAGCCTGGGTGACTGAGCTAGATTCCATCTCAAAAAAAAAAAAAAAAAGGTTGGCCAGACGCGGTGGCTCACGCCTATAATCCCAGCACTTTGGGAGGCCGAGGCGGGTGGATCACGAGGTCAAGAGATTGAGACCATCCTGATCAACAAGGTGAAACCCCATCTCTACTAAAAATACAAAAATTAGCTGGGCATGGTGGTGCGCACCTGTAGTCCCAGCTACTCGGGAGGCTGAGGTAGGAGAATTGCTTGAACCCAGGAGGTGGAGGTTGTGGTGAGCCGAGATCCTGCCATTGCACTCACTCTGGTCTGGGTAACAACAGTGAAACTCCATGTCAAAAAAAAAAGGTTGATGTGAATAATAAGATCAGAGTGATTCTATGTGGTCTCAAAGCCAACCCCGGGGCTAAGGAGGCATCAGAGCTTTAGCATCTGGCCAGGGCTGGTAATGTCTGTGCCAACCTCTAAGATGCTGTGAAGCTCTGTCTGTCAGTAAGATAATTCACAGGTCCAACTCTGAGCTTTAGAAAGTGTCATCATGACTCAAGGGCAGGGATGAGAGAAGGGGCAGGTGCAGTGGCTCACACCTGTAAATCCCAGCACTTTGGGAGGCTAAGGTGAGCAGATCAGTTGAGGTCAGGAGGTCGAGACAGGCCTGGCCAACATGGCGAAACCTGTGTCTACTAAAAACACAAAAATGAGTTGTGCATGGTGGTACACACAAGTAGTCTCCAGCTACTCGGAAGGCTAAGGCAGGAGAATCGCCTGAATCTGGGAGACAGATGTTGCAGTGAGCCAAGATGGTGCCATTGCACTGCAGCCTAGGTGACAGAGTGAGACTCCATATCAAAAAAATAAAAAAATAACGAAAGGGTGGGCACGCTGGGACCCTGGGCAAGTAGGAACCAATGGCACTGCTGTGTTGCCAATGCCCCTGAGGACTGCTCACAGGCCTTCTGCCAAGTCCATGCCATTCACAGCCCATCTGGAGTGTCTTCTGCTCTCCTAGGCACTGTGTCCAGGGTCAAAGATTCTGCTCCAGGCAGGCCCTGGCTCCACAAAGCTGAAGACATGTTCCTGAAGCCTGTGTCTGCATCCCTGACTCAAACAAAGAAACAGCCATCTCGTATTTTGGGGTTTCTTCAAGCCAAAGGTATTTAAAAGCCAGAGAAAGCCAAGATAATCAATATGGGGTCCACTCCCCTTGAAGTTCCCCTATGTTCCTGGGAGAGGATGAATTAAGGATCTTGGACTCTCTCTAGCTCAGACTTTCCCATGACCTTTTCCACTCTAATTCCCCTTGCCATCAAAGGGGGACCCTAAGCTCCTCTTGGGTTTTTTTCCTAGCCTGAATATTACAGAAGAAAGCAGTATCTATCCCCTACTAGGTAGATGGGAAAGAGACAGAATGCCATGTCCAACCACAAAACTTAAGGTTCCTCCTGAGGCACTATGGTAGAGAGGTTATCCACTGATGTCCCAATTAATAACCTATAATAACACACATCTTTGCAATGAGACTTTGTACCTCCTCCCATCAATAGATGAAGTCTAATTCTCTACTCCTTGAATTTGAACTACCTTTGTGAGTTACTACACAAGACAATGCAGGAGAAGTAATGATGTGCCATTTCCAAGGCTAGGCCTTCCTAGATGCTTCTATTCTCTTGGGATTCTGCTCAAGGCTAGCCTGCAGGAAAACAGGAGTCTATGCAGAAGAGAGCCAGGTCAGCTCAGTGTCCTCCTGAAGTTCCAAAGTGAGAGAGCCAGATAAGATGGTAAAAGTGATGAACAGCTGATGACAAACTTGAAGGAGTTGAGAAAAGCACCACCCAGCTGATCTCAACCTAACTTGCTGAACTACAGAATTATGAGCTAAACGGTTACTGTTTTAAGTCAGTGCTTTCAAACTTGAACCAGCATGGAATCACCATGAGGGCTTGTTAAAACAGAGAATGTTAAATCCACCCTAGTTATTCTGTGATGGGGCCCAAGATTTGCATTTTTAGCAAGTTCCCAGGTGATACTTCTGGTCCAGGGATCAGATCTTGAGAATAACTGAAACCACTAAATTTTGGGGTGATTTGTTACACAGAAATAGCCAACTGATACATTAAGAAAAATCATAAATCAAGTTCTCCTTTTGGTTCAGAGTAGTGTTTGAATGGTTAAATTCCACTCATTCAACCATCCATTCATTCATTTATACATTCATTCTTCAACCAAAAAGCCTTTATTAAATGCTTATTTGGACTAGGCATGATGCAAGGCTATATTGGTACAGAAAAAAGAAAGATATGGTACCTCTCCCAAAAAGTGTTAGTTTCTACTAGAGAGACCAGGAAGAAAACAAATCATTATGGAATAGGGTAACCGTGACCATATAACTCTGCTTGAGTCACAGCATTCGTAGGGCAGGGAGAAAGATCTCAAAGGTAGCTACTAACAGAACTGCTCATGGCACAGGACTGACTGTGCTCAGGACACTGTGAAGGAGAAAGGAGGCTGGAGAAAATAATGACACTGGGAGC